GCTTCTAAGCTTCTAAGACACATATTTTATTCAAAATGTTTTCCGCATTGTCATTTAATACAGTACTATTATTTCAATATCAAGTTCAATCTTTAGAGTTCAAATGTAATATTCAATAATATTATTCCTGTACAATTTAACATTTAATATTTAGTACACGTACATTTAATATTTTGCTAATTCAATCTAACATGAACACATTACCTTTTCATTGGAAAGAAGCATCTATTGATACTTCCACAATTTAATCACCACGAATTTAAAATAAAAAAATATAATTGCATGAAAAGAAACACATGTATGTTTTAAAGAAATCATCCCTGGATTTTAATTATTGGAATTCACCTCTATTTTGCCCGGTTTTAATATGTTTTCCCGATATTCGACCCGTTTTATTTTCAAAATCATGTTCCGAAGCTCGAGTACGACTTTCGCGGTAATTGAAACATCGTGATCATAGCGTGGCCAAAAGAAATTACCGGCGGCCCCGCACTGAAAGAGAAAAATTCAGCGTGTCGGGAGCGTTCGGTTCGTACGTCACTTTTGCACGTACCGCGAAGACGAAGGGAGGACAAGATGAAGAAAGAAATAAAGCGGGAAGGCGGGACACGTGTTCACGAGAGTAACACCGGCAAAACACGTGGCGCGCGAGAAATGCAGCGAACGATCCCCTGTTGCCGGCCCTGTTTGATTTATAATAATCGTTCAATCCTCATTACCAAGATATTTTATTGTGGACCTTGCCGGACAAGGAAACTCGTGATTTCTGATACTCTCGATTCCTAATTCGTATCTTTAAATTCCACGCTTTCCTGCTACATCTAAAATTGCTAGATGAAACTTTATCAATTTTTTTTATTGGTGCAGTAAATAAGTCGTATAGTAATTTAACTGGTACATTATATTAATTGTGTATTGACATCTTTATAAGATTTTGTTCATAAAATTTATAAACGGTAGTAATTTTATTGACTCATGTTTATGGTAACTTTTAAGGATGCAAGTTTACGGATTAATTAAAGAAAATATTATTAATGTGTTTAAAGTAGTTTATACATAAAATTCATGGAATATTTTATTTTGCTATTCAATTTTTTAAGTATGCATCGTGTTCGCAGATTATCAAAAATAATGTTACAATAATCAAGTTTATGTTACCATTTTTTATAAATAAATTCAGTAGAACATGTATGAAATTCTTTAAGAAACTTCATAAATAAAATTCATGTACAATATTGATTTTATTCATTCAATTTTTTAAATATGCATCATGTTCACAGGTTACCAAAAATGATGTTACGTTAATCAAGTTTATGTTAACATTTATTATAAATAAATTTAGTAGAACATATATTAAAATTCTTTAAGAAACCTCATAAATAAAATTCATGTACAATATTGATTTTATTCATTCAATTTTTTAAATGTGCATAGTCTTCACAGGTTACCAAAAATGATGTTACATTAATCAAGTTTATGTTACCATTTATTATAAACAAATTCAGTAGAACATATATGAAATTCTTTAAGAAACCTCATAAATAAAATTCATGTACAATATAGATTTTATTGATTTAATTTTCTAAGTGTGCATAGTCTTCACAGGTTACCAAAAATGATGTTACATTAATCAAGTTTATGTTAACATTTATTATAAATAAATTCAGTAGAACATGTATGAAATTCTTTAAGAAACCTCATAAATAAAATTCATGTACAATATAGATTTTATTCATTCAATTTTTTAAATGTACATCATGTTCATAGGTTACCAAAAATGATGTTACATTAATCAAGTTTATGTTAACATTTATTATAAATAAATTCAGTAGAATATATATTAAAATTTTTTAAGAAACCTCATAAATAAAATTCATGTACAATATTGATTTTATTAATTTATTTTTTTACTCCATTTTTAAAAGTTCTTCAAGTTTTTACATTATGTGTAATCATAGTCTATTTTGTCAAACATAATTGAATTAATTAAAACATTATATACTATGTTTAATAAATCCATTAAAAACCTGAACAATGAGTTGCAATTTTTAATTAGTATCAATTGAAATGAATGCATGTATCATTAACAAACTGAAGACTAATAAATAATAGAGAAAATACAAGGATACCAAAGGAAGTTTTACAATAAAATCAGTCTAATTAGAGTAACGTGCGCCATTTGTACCCAGCAGTTTTTGCGAGCGGTCTCGCAGTATCATCAAGCGAATAAAAGGGAACTGCATTTCGTGCAACTGCGAACCGTGCCTTTAACGAGTATCGCTTGACACCTTGAAATCGCTTCGTGATGGAATTTTAGTATCCGCAAACTTTACAAACTCCATATACGTAGAATCGAGTTTTTTCGAAGGTGATCTGCGACGCCATAATAACTTTGCACCGTCAATTTTCCAGGCCTTTGCGCGGACACGGCGTAAAAATACTTGCCTCGTTTTCTTGCCGTCTCGTACAACCGATACGTTCTCCGTCTTTTTGTACTTCTTGAATTTTCACTGGTTAACTTGATACACCATGTATCTCCTTATTATGGAATAAGTCCACCGCAAGTTTTATTACTTAAGAAGTATTATAGTGAATTGTATAGTACAGTGTGGACTGTTATTAAAATATACAAGTTTAAATAAAAGTACAACACTTCATGTTGCTGTGTAATCATAATACTTTTATATTAAATTAAACTTGAACTTGCTGAAGAAGACTGTAAACCATTCGCTCTTCGCAATACAAAATGGCTGACATGATACCAGCGTCGTAATACTGTTGTGTCAAATTAAGCTTAAACTTGCTGAAGAGTATAAACCATTCGCTCCTTGCAATACAAAATGGCTGACAAGATGATCTGACACGATCCTAGTAGTACTTTTATGTCAAATTAAACTTAAACTTCCTGAAGAAGACTGTAAACCATTCGCTCTTCGCAATACAAAATGGCTGACATGATACCAGCGTCGTAATACTGTTGTGTCAAATTAAGCTTAAACTTGCTGAAGAGTATAAACCATTCGCTCCTTGCAATACAAAATGGCTGACAAGATGATCTGACACTAATAATACTGTTCTGTTAAATTAAACTTAAACTTGCTGAAGAAGGTTATATAAAGCATTCGCTCTTCACAGTACAAAATGGCTGACATAATACCAGCGTCGTAATACTGTTGTGTCAAATTGAGCTTAAACTTGCTGTAGACTATAAACCATTCGTTCCTTGCAATACAAAATGGCTGACAAGATGATCTGACACTAATAATACTGTTCTGTTAAATTAAACTTAAACTTACTGAAGAAGGTTACATAAACCATTCGCTGTTCGCAGTACAAAATGGCTGACTTTGACAACCAAAATGGCTGCAACAAGTCCATGAATTTATGACAGAAACATAACAAAATAAAAATTCACATAAATTTGAAATTTAACCTGTTGTCAATGCACAGATAATTGACACCCTTAACCCAAAGGGGTTTGCAAGTATACATTACATTTGTCCCTAACCTAAAATTGGTTACAATGATTGGTATCAAAAAAATCCAGTGAAAACATCCAATAAGAAATTGTGAATCGATTAAACTGACAATCGTCTCAAGGGTTAAACAAGTGGTATCGGCTTGAAAACCCGCGGATCGTAGCGGAAAACTACGTGGAATGCGTGCGTAGCGTAGCGGGTGGCGTGTACTTTGTGATGCAAATTAATGCGCGATTACCAAAGGCACCCCCTGTGCCCCCGTGTCGCCCCGTCGTAACCCTCGTCCGTTTCGTGTCGAGGTCTCCACCGACGAACGTGTGTTTGTACCACGATTTCAGGTGTACAATCGTCTACGTGCAACCAACACCCTAACCTCAAACTCGATGCCTACCCACGCATTAAGCCTGCTTACACGCTCGCTACCCGCTGCCTCTAATCTGATGTAACTATTACACGTTACGCGACTGCACGCTTCTATCGACCAAATTATTCCACTTCGTGCTCTTTTCATCCCCGCTGATTGATTCGTTGCGAAACACTTCGGGATTCGATACGCCTGCTGTGGATGCTCTTAGGATGCTTAGAGGTTGCCTTTAGGGTACCGATGGTGAACGAGTTGAACCTTTTCATATTCGAGATAGCTGGAATCTGGGAATTTAGTTCGGGATGTGAACATTTGGAAGCTAAGATGTTTGGAAATTTCGGATTTAAGATGGAGGAAGTCTATTAATTTTTATTGAAGAAGTTTTAGAAACGTTTGAACTCTAGGTCGAAGTTGAAGATTTGGAAATTTGACAATTTTAAAGCTTGAGACAACTCAAAAATTGACAAATTCCGAAATTGATTAAATCAGAGAATTGGTGATATTCCTATTTCTCCCCGATAAACGATTTCTTCCCAATTTCTCCCTAATTACGTCACGAACATCCGAGCTATCAAAAAATACGACACAATCAGGTATTAATTCCACAGTGGCGAAAATGATGAATTTTTATTACAACATCGACGGGCCGTGAACAGCTCTGAAAGGTTGATCAACCGATAAATTCCTTAACTCATTTTTTAACGACGAAATTAATTCAATGCAAACTTGGTCGCGACGAAAACCGCATCGAATTACACACACCTTTACACCTCGGTCGATCGAGCCGATAGGTTTGTCGTCGCATCGAAATTATCAATACGTGAGTCGATTGCAAAGTTCGTGGGGAAAGAAAGGGGGAGTTTAATTTATCTGCAATTACGTTATTTTCACGGAATGAGAATCACGGCCCGGTAGCGGTAATATTTTGCCGCGTGGTACGGTTGCATATTTAAGGGTTGCCATGTCAAGCGTCAAGCGCGCCCTTTGAATACATTTAAATTCATTAACAGTAAAGGCTGTGTTCCCGTAAACCTCTACACACTCTTACCCTGCACACTCTTACGAAATATCGACATACAACTAAACGGGCCACTGTGCTTGATATAATTACGAGAAACGATTGGATCGTTAATGAAACGCTGTCATTTTTGTTGCAGAGTATCACGGAAATTCTGGGATCAATATGCCGCATACAGGTGAGTCAGAAAACTATATTAGAGTTTAATAGTGTTGAATTGAACACAGTATGTCGAAAAAGTAACTTTTTAAATTTAAGGAAAACTGTCGGTGTTTATTAATACAATTTATCTGAAAACAGTCACAACTACAAAACACAGCAATCAATATTGGAATTGAGCAACGAATATTAATAATAATAGACAAGTATTATTTCTGAGACATTCAAAGTGACTTGAACAAAGTGAACTAATGAACAAAGTAAATCAAGCGTTTAGTTACTTGGAATAATTAAAATAGTGCTAGTGAACCATTTCGGACGAAATCAAATATGGTGGCGGCATCTCGATATGTTATCTGAAAAAAGTATACCTCCCCTACAAAACACAGCAATCATTATTGAAATCGAGCAACGAATATTAATAATAATAGACAAGTATTATTTCTGAGACATTCAAAGTGACTTGAACAAAGTGAACTAATGAACAAAGTAAATCAAGCGTTTAGTTACTTGGAATAATTAAAATAGTGCTAGTGAATCATTGACTGTGAACCATTTTAGACGAAATCAAATATGGCGGCATCTCGATATGTTATCTGAAAAAAGTATACCTCCCCTACAAAACACAGCAATCATTATTGAAATCGAGCAACGAATATTAATAATAATAGACAAGTATTATTTCTGAGACATTCAAAGTGATTTGAACAAAGTGAACTAATGAACAAAGTAAATCAAGCGTTTAATTACTTGGAATAATTAAAATAGTACTAGTGAATCATTAACCGTGAATCGTTTCGGACAAAATCAAACATGGCGGCGCCTCGAAATAAGATAGCAAGTTAAAATTCAGCCTCCATGTGATTTCAAGTCTCGTCTCCAGTAAACTATTACTTGGAATAATTAAAATAGTACTAGTGAACTATTAACCGTGAACCATTTCGTATCGGACGAAATCAAACATGGCGGCATCTCGAAATAAGATAGGAAGTTAAAATTCAGCCTCCATGTGATTTCAAGTTTCATCTCCAGTAAACTATTACTTGGAATAATTAAAATAATACTTGTGAACTATTAACCGTGAACCATTTCGTATCGGACGAAATCAAACATGGCGGCGCCTCGAAATAAGATAGAAAGTTAAAATTCAGCCTCCATGTGATTTCAAGTCTCGTCTCCAGTGAACTATCTGAACTAAGCTGAGACTATCAGCTATCGGACATATTAGCCACACTAATACACCGTCGAGCGAGTAGATAGTGTAGCTACCTGTACTCGGTCCCTGATTTATGCAACGACGTAGCTCGTCGTTATCGTTTCTCGGACATTTAGCACGAGGTCGGCTACCGTCGGCGAGATCAGAAGACGAGTCGACGGTAAAAATTAAAATCACTCCCCTCTTCTTCTTTTCGTCTCGCTTTCTCGCGAGCCTGTTACGTTTGCCGATCGGCACTCGACCGATTGGCTCCGGGCATCGGTTAAATTACGATTTGGAAGGCAGTTTGACAGTAATTAACGAAGAATTTTATACGCTGGATCGAGAGTCGAGATCTATAGACCTGTTATTAAACGACTTTAATTGCATCGCGCTGTCTTGCTTCCACTTTACTTTTCTCTTCGTCTTAAATAGTTTCTAACGATTATTTTCTGTGTAATATATTTTTGTAATTGACTGTTTGTTTATTTTTAGCGATACAATGTTCGCTTCTTAATTTTTTTAAATTAACCTTCACTTATTTGCTCGACGACTAGTTTGATGTGAACTTAAACCGCCATTTTGTTAGTAAAATGTTCTCGCAGATTTTTTATATTTTGAAGTATTCTACTTTGGTCGAAAGAAGTTTTGCGTTTATTTTTGTTTCGTTCTTTTATTGATACAGCAGGCAGTATATCAAAGATAAAGTCTTCTTTAGGTTTTTGTTTCTCCTTTCAAACTCTTCTTCCTTCAGTTTTTACTTGTTTTAGTTATACTCTTCTTCTTCAGGTTTTTGCTACTTCTTTTAGTTATACTCTTCTTCTTCAGATTTTTGCTTCTTTTGGTTGTACCCTTCTTCTTTAGGTTTTTGCTTCTTCTTTCGGCGAGCCTCTTCTTCTTTAGCTTTTTGCCTCTTCTTTCGGTTCAACTCTTGTTTTTTAAGTTTTTACCTCTTCTTTCGGTTCGACAGTTCTCTTCTTTCTTTCCTCTTCTTGCTTTCTTCTTCATTTTTTCTTCGCTTTTCTTCTTTCACTTATACAAAAGAATCGTTATTTATTCTGAAAAGAATTATTATTATCCTCCTCGAATATTAATCAAACATCACCAAAATAGTCCACCATTCTGTTCCTAATTTCAACAAATATTAGACCACACTCATATCTTCAATGTTCCTAACCTCGGTTTAAAATTGATTCCCGTGTCCTCCGTACACAAAGAAGAGAGAAGAAAACTCTGTTAACGTAGATGAGTCGTGATTACAGGTAGGCAGGTGTACAGTTTGGTTAGGACCTAAATGGTGAACACGATAGCGATCACCTTAGTTCGCTAATTCTAAGCTGACCATTATTATATATCTAAAGGTACACCTTTACTGATCATATACGTGCCGTCGTCGTAAATATTCCGTTTTTTATCCCAGCTAATTTACTGCTTTACGTGTTGGTATGCATCGTGTCTTAGTTTTATTTCCTGTTTCCATGTTTTCTTTTCTAAACTTCAACTTTGTTGCTCTCCTCTTTCTTGTCGCGTTTGAAGTGCGCGCCAAATTCAAACCTAGGTATAGCAAGGCAAATATACTAAATATTTACTTCTGTTCTAACAATAAATGCGTTATAAATCAATTCTGATTACTTCACACTATCCACGAATAAGACAAAATAATCTCCGTTGTATTATATTTGTCTTTGGGTTTCATCTCGTTAGTGGCGGCAAATTCAAATACAAATATGTCATTATAAGTGCACCGAACTGTGTTCTGACAGACAATACAATAAACTAGATTGTAATTAGTTCAAATTACTCTGGAATAACACACGAATCATATTGTATGCAAGTATATCACCTTGTATTTTCCCTCCATCTTCTCTCCGTCAAAGTGGCGGCAAATTCAAATGCAAATCTGTGGTACCTTCAATTGTTGCCTAATAATCGATGCCTTAAAATCAATCCTAATTAGTGTAGATCATCTACGAATGATGCACAAGTAATCATAAGTATGTAAACACTGAAAATTCCTTTAGAACATCGTTCGAAAAGCGCGGCAAATTCAAACGCAATTTGAACGCGACATATCATGAAGGCAACTTTCGCTTTGATAAGACCGCTTGCTATCACAGCCATGTCTACAATATCTAAATGAAAGGTGACAGCGACATTTTTCCGTCAAACGATTATCCACGAATAATGCACAAGTAATCATAAGTATGTAAACACTGAAAATTCCTTTAGAACATCGTTCGAAAAGCGCGGCAAATTCAAACGCAATTTGAACGCGACATATCATGAAGGCAACTTTCGCTTTGATAAGACCGCTTGCTATCACAGCCATGTCTACAATATCTAAATGAAAGGTGACAGCGACATTTTTCCGTCAAACGATCTTTACGCTCAATAAATTCCCATCTTGACAGCGGAGGAGGCGAAAGCCACGGGAATCCGACATTTATTCGCGCAATTTCGCGTTTCGCCGGCTGATTTTTATAAAGATAAGAACAACTTCCTGCTCGGTTTTTGCCGTAATAATAATTTGGCCCGCGGTCGTGTCGGTCTGTCGCTTTTCTGACCGCGTGTAATTTCGGCCCGATCCTCAGCGGTTGGAACAGGAAGCGACACTCTTTTTATCGTGTAGAGCGAAAATTAAAGGGAGTGAGAAAAAAAAAAGGAACGCCGGGAAAAGAGGACACGTGAGACGGGATTTTTAAGGAGGTGAAATAATAATTGGCGATAAAGCCGAATAAATCGTTACCACGCTGTCGGATATCGCCGATGAATAACGAGGGATCGACACGCGAGAATTTCTCCCCTTTCCGATGTAATTTCCCTCGTAATAACGTGTCGAAAAAGTTTGTCGCAGCCGTTTTAAAGACTGCTTTTAAATCATCGGACCATCCGAACGCGTACACATTATTATGCGTTTCTTTTATTACCGTCAATTTCCGTTCTTGCTTTTATTCTTGATCGTTCGCGATATGTAGAACGAGAAAGTTGCGGAATCATTTGCATAAGTGTCATAAATTAAGGAGCTGTTTTCGCGGGCTTTTCGGATCGTGAGATTTTTACTTTCCAGTCCTCCGTTGAGGAGTCCTTCATTTCTAGTTCTCCCGCTTTTTTATGACGTACTCATTGATCCTTAAGATCTTGACAATTACGATAACTTTTATTAGTTGAAAAATGGTAGAAACAAAAGCGGTTAAATATTCGCACCCTCAACTTCCAAATACAGGGTGTCTCACAATTAGTGTAACTCTCGGAATTGGGTGGTGGGGTTCGAGATTCTGAACAACTTTTCTCTTTGCAAAAATTCGCTCTGAAGCTTCGTTTTTGAATTATTAAGGAAAAACACGGACCAATCAGAGCGCGAGGGCGGAGCTTGTCTCGCGTCTGCGCACGCGTCTCGCGCTCTGATTGGTCCTGTGTTTTTCCTTAATAATTCGAAAACGAAGCTTCAGATCCCATTTCTGCAAAGGGAAATTTTATTCAGAATCATGTCAGCTACCTCTCATTTCAGTTGCGAGATACCCTATATATCACCAAACATGCATGCTACTATTAAAAATTTTCTAACGACCTTAAGATTTTATTTTTAAATATTTTCTTACATAACAATAATTTTTCTTATACATCAATCATAATGTACAAATACAATATTTTTAACAGACTGAAAAATGAAAAAATACTTAGACATCCGAGAAGAAAATTTATAGACTTAATTACAGTCTCAAAAATTAAACTCGTGTTAAAAAAGAAATCCATAATCGTTACTTAAGATCTCTATAATAAAAAGTTGCATCCCGATGAAATATTTAATTGCCCGTCCATTTAAAACATAAAACGACAGCGTACGTATACATATAGCTAAGCCACGCGCAGCAAAACCAAATGGAGCAAACATTCGAGCGTTGATTACATGGAATTTCCATGAAATTTCGGAGTCTGGTAATAATTATGCCGTTAAGTAATCGTCGGCTACCGAAACGATCCGAGAATTAGGGAGGCCCGGTATACCACTGAAGATTTATGGGGGACCTTAATATCCCCAAACACTTTGGCCTTTTCTCTGTTTTCGACGTTGATCATTGGCGTAACTGGGTTGACCCCATAAAGCATTCGTGATGAAATTCGTTGTGAAAAGTACAGGTGCAAACATTTATATCAAATGTATAAAAACATTTATATTAAATATATAAAATAATGAAGAAGTGACGAAGATGTGAAAGTGATAAAATTATTCTATTTACAAAATAGAATTAGAATTATTTGAGTAATTAGAACGAAGTTGTATTTGTACAAATTTGCAATGAAAAATAATAAAAATAGAAATTCTAAAAAATTTTGTAATTCATCCCTAACTAAAATCTTCTTTCTACAATATAAATTACCCTCCACATTTTATAAAAAACACTGAGCGTAATTTCAAATATAAAAATTTGCAAAATACTGATATGTAAATAAAAAAAAATTTGCCAACATATCGAACAAGATGAAATTATATTATCGACGTAAATTACGAATTAAAATTCGAAATTTTGGTTACGCCACTGTGGTCCATCGAGCAACATTCGTTCGAAGACGAGGTCGCGGTGTAACTCAAATTTTATTCCCGTATGGTTTAATGCCCGTCTGCCACGAACCGTTCGATCGTACGATTTTCAACGAACGGATATAAAATCATTGATCGATTGACGTTTTTATTTCGAGCATCATGATTTTACGATTCACCGGAGATATTCTGCCGCGTTCTCCTGGTGAAAACATCGATACCTTTTGCAAAACGGAGATATTTATCCGAGACCGCTTATGATTAAAGCATTGATGAAATTTTAGAAATTTTGCTGTTGGGTTGAATTTTTGCGACGCAGAGTTTCACGTTTTTATATTTCGAAATTTTTAATTTATTACACGTTTTTATATGTAGTGCTTCAAGTTGGTAATTGTACTGATCTTCGAACGAAGAAATATTTTAAGAAATTTTGATGCTGGTAAATTTTGGTATTTGAAGGTTTACAAATTTTAATATTTTCAAACTTAGAAATTTCAAATTTAGATTAATTTAAATTTAGAAATTTCAAATTTAGATTTCTTCAAATTTAGAAATTTTTAATTTAAAACGCAGATGTATTCCTGACCTAACTTGTGGCAATATAACGCATGGTAACTCTATATGAAGCAATATAGCGCATGAAAATACTGTGCGTGGCAATATAACGCGTGACAATTAAACGCATAGCAATATAACGCGTGACAATTCTATGTGTAGCAATATAACGCGTGAATATTCTACGCGTTGCAATATAACGCGTGGCAACTCTACGCGTGGCAATATAACACGTGAAAATTCCACGGATTGCAATATAATGCGTGACAATTCTACGCGTGGCACCTTAACGCGTGAAAACTCCACACGTGGCAATATAACGCGTGGCAATATAACACGCGAAAATTCCACGCATTGCAATATAACGCGTGGCAATAAAACGCGTGAAAACTCTACGCGTGGCAATATAACGCGAGACAACTCTACGCGCGGCAATATAACGCGTGAAAACTCCACGCGTGGCAATATAACGCGTGGCTATATAACACGCGAAAATTCCACGCGTTGCAATATAACGCGTGGCAACTCCACGCGTGGAAATATAACGCGTGAAAACTCTATGCGTGGCAATATAACGCGTGAAAACTCTACGCGTGGCAATATAACGCGTGAGAACTCCACGCGTGGCAATATAACACACAGTGACTCCACGCTTGGCAATATAACGTACTTAGATATTTTCAAATTTAGAAATTTAGAATTTCAAACGCAGATGTATTCCTGACCCAACTCAGAACAGTAATAGGCACAGAAGCAGTATAATTACCAGAGAATTTTGGTGAAACGCATTTTTCTGTGGCCTCTAATATGTTGTCCTGAACAATGTTTCTGACATGCTTGCATGCCGTCGGAAAAGGTGACGTGTAATTATCCCGCGTTCCGCCAGAGGACATCGGGCGAGGCAAAGCAGAAAAAAGGGAACATTTCATCGAAATTGTTTTCCGCTAATTTCGAGACATCCTTCGAATTACCGTTTTTAACAATTTTTCATGCACAAGGGAGTAATAAAATTACCGGGGACCCGATTGTTTTCTCCTTTTTCCCGGTAACTGCCGTTTCGTGAGCGGCAAGTACACTTTGTTGCATCTTGTGTAACTCGATCCCCGAGAAGATAATGCGTGTTCGATTTTGTCGGTTGATATCAGTTACCTGGATGATTACGGTCTTTCAGGGACGTATAGAATTGATGATGAAATGCTTGAAAGGAACTGGAAATATTAATGTCTGTTTAACGGAGATGGGATTAAAGGCGTAGAAATTCTGGATAATTTTTAATTCGTGTTATCTTCTGTTGTCAATTTTCTGCCACGTTTTTTGCTTTGGAGTGAGTTTTCAATAGGATGTAAATCGGGGACAACGTTGAAATTGAAATTACTAAGTAAAATTTTTTAGTTATTTATTTTTATATGTGCAGACATATGGCGGGAAATTTGAAATTTTTGTATTTGTACATTGCAAATGTTCCGTCAAAATGCATTTGTCTTTCAGATCAATTTCTAAGTGAAACACTGATACGAAATTGAAAGCAATGCGAGAACTCACGCATTTCATTTGTTTTGCAGGTCAAGCGGGAGTTAATCAACTGGGTGGTGTCTTTGTTAACGGGAGGCCATTGCCCGATTGTGTCCGGCAAAGAATCGTACAGCTTGCTTTGGTCGGCGTAAGACCGTGCGATATATCACGACAGCTGCTCGTCTCTCATGGATGCGTCTCGAAAATCCTGACTAGATTCTACGAAACCGGAAGCATTCGACCTGGAAGCATCGGGGGTAGCAAAACAAAAGTAAGTCTCTTAAATCATCTATGTACTAATTAATTCTAAATTCATGTTGTATATTAATAATTAATGTCAACTGTCTGAAGTAAATTAGTGTCTTATGCACTCACTGTTAATGTGTAAGACAATAGATGAAACCGTAAACAATTAAAGTTATTGTTGATAGGGCTATTAGTGTAATGGATAGCACAGCGGATTAGTAATCTAAGGTTCGCGCGTTCGAATCCCGAGAGGGGAGATGATAGGGTCATAGAATTTTTTCTGCGTTAATATTTGCGATATGAGGTTTTAGGATTATAGGGAATTTGATAGATGAAGATTCTCTAGGGTTTTTCGAGTTTATATATAGGGAATTTACGTAATAATTTACTTAGAAGTATTTAGGGAGATAAATGTGGGGTTTTATAGAAATTCCTATGGTGTCTTAAGAGAAATCTTAGGGTCTTGTAGATGGTTCTATAGGAATATATTATAATCAGTTTAGGGTGTTTGTATCTGCAGAAATAAGAATCTAGGGAAAATAGGATGATAAAGAGGGAAGTTATAAAAAAAATAAAACGACGATCTCGTTAATAATATATCTAAATATCTAGGAATATACAGATATATCTAGAACATACCTACAAAAAGGATCTGCTCAAAAAGTTAACACAAGAAAACGAGCGAAAAGACAAGGAAAACCGCTGATCAGGAAAATCAACGCTCATTACCTTTTCTTGTACAAAGTTTACAATCGCAATTATGGGATAGCAGTACACGACAAACGAAAAAGCGTAATAAAGGAAGGAAGGAAGGATGCGTGGTTTATGGGGCGGTGACACTGATGAGAGATGCGATACATGGCACAAAGTCGTCGAGCCAGAGCGGCGCTGATGTGATTTTAAGTAAGGGCTGCTCGTAGCCGACAGTGTACGCAATTATCCAAACACCTTGCAGCATAGTTCATTTGCATAATTTCATGACTTTGCGCGGCTTTTCTTATCCTCGCTCTTACTGTCGCGCGGAATTATCATGGCTTCAGTCGGAAATGACGTACCTCTGAGCTATGGAAAAAATCTTACTGTGCACCTATAATGATAAATCGTTCTTCTGGTAAATAGCCTACTTTGAATAACAAGGACATTATTTTGTCTTAACATTTCTTTTATATAAAGAAACACTGTTTTAAGGAATAACATTTTATGATTGTAATTAACGTTATTATTTTATGAAGTATTAACCCGAAAATTTCGACTTACATTGGTACCATAATATTATTCATTATTTTATCGAGGTTTTACCATTTTTTTATATAAAGAACTTTGTTAAGAATGAAGTAACATTTTATGAATGCAATTAACGATATTATTTTATGAAGTGTGTGTCGACCCGAAAATTCCGACGTCCACCGTGCGCCAATTTGAGGACAGGAATAAAAAGAAAGTAGGTAAATTAAAGATCGTAAAGTTGATCGTTCGGATCGAGAACGAGTGAAATTAGACGCACTTAGCCCTCTTTAGACTCTCCTTTACGAGAAAAGTGAATTCCCGGTGACGATGTCTCGCTTGTTTAATGCCTGTCCGATTTGAATTTCAAATTCTTTATTTACGACGTCTTCATGTTAATCGATTATTCTTTTTTTGCTCGCCGTAACGAACTCCTCCCGAAGGGAGGTTCGATCGTTCAATTATGATCGAATCAACGGTGTCACGAAAGATTTCGAAAGTTTATGGCGAGACACGTGCACTCGAATGTCTTTATGGTGATTACACATATGGAAATGGATGCCTTGAGATATTTGTGTCAACGATTTAAATTATTCTGGAAATTGGAATTTAGTGAAACATCAGATGGTTACAGTTGGACTCAATTGTTAAAGAAGTTGATACACTTCGCTATCATAGTATTTATTGCTGCACTATAATTTATGCAAGGTGTCTCACAATTAGCAGGTCCCTGAAGGAGGTAGTAGATGTCATTCTGAGTAAGATTTCCCTTTGCAAAAATGGGGTAGAGAATTAGAGGTTAAGCGGTTAAATATTCGCACCCTCAACTTCCAAATACAGGGTGTCTCACAATTAGTGTAACTCTCGGAATTGGGTGGTGGGGTTCGAGATTCTGAACAACTTTTCCCTTTGCAAAAATTCGCTCTGAAGCTTCGTTTTTGCATTATTAAAGAAAAACACGGACCAATCAGAGCGCGAGGGCGGAGCTGTCTCGCGCCTGCGCACGTGACTCGCGCTCTGATTGGTCCTGTGTTTTTCCTTAATAATTCGAAAACGAAGCTTCAGATCCGATTTCTGCAAAGGGAAATCTTATTCAGAATCACGTCAGCTACCTCCAGTTTCAAGGGCTTACACTAATTGTTAGACATCCTGTATTTACTGTAATACTTTACCATAAAATATTTACATTTGCTACAATTATTAACAAATACTAAAAAAGAGATATTTGTTCTCAAGTTTAAGATTGGTTTAACACGGGGGGCAAAGTAAACTATCTCCGGCACTGTACCCTTGAAACACCTTTGTAGGAAAATGGCGAGCTAACGAGTCCCGATGCGAGGTATCCCTCGTCCGGTTCGATAATCAAGGGCCACAGGGTGGCAAGGTGGATTATCTCCAGATGCATCCCACGAAACCGCGTGCGAATAACGCGGACCGACAAAGAAGCGGGGCCACTCGTCTCGCGAGTGTTGTATTACGCGTGTGACGTCACTAATGACAATATAATTGCACGCTGCCTACACGAAGAATTTCTTCGTACGAGCCGTGGCCCCGGCACGGGAACACGAGCCGCGATCAGCCGTTTCGGCTTAATGAATTTATTTTAATAACGCCGGGTTGGCGTACAACGACCCCGACGTTGAATCGCGAGCCGCGGCTTCTTTAACTCCGGCCACAAAACACCGACGAGCATATTTAAATTCTGTCTGTGCACGGCCACGATTACGAGCGCATGTAAACGATCGTCATCAACGGCCATTATTGCACCGTGTTCGTTTTAGTCACGGCGATGCCAAAATAGTCGAGACGCAAGACAAATCGTGTTTCTTCTATTTACGTAGACGGGATGTGTTCAATCTGTTTTTGGAATTTTATATGATTTGAACGGGTTAGGTTAGATGGTGTGGATGCTGGAGTCGTTAAATGAGATAGGAACATATGGTGAAATGTACAACATATGGTATATGAATAAATAGTTGTATGTATAATTACAATTATTATATGAATTATAAAATAATAAAATTATAAAAAATTATAAAAATAAAATTATATAATAATTGTATGTGACAACATGGGGATATAGCAAAGAGTAGTAAAACGGCAATATAATAAGACAATTACAATTATTATATAAGTTATATAAATAGCAGTATGGTGATAATATGTGGATATAGCAAAGAGTAGCAGAACGGCAATATAATAAAATAATTACAATTATTATATAGGTTATATAAATAGCAGTATGGTGATAATATGGGGATATAGCAAAGAGTAACAGAACGGCAATATAATAAGATAATTACAATTATTATATAAGTTATATAAATAGCAGTATGGTGATAATATGTGGATATAGCAAATGGTAGTAGAACGGCAATATAATAAGACAATTACAATTATTATATAAGCTATATAAATAGCAGTATGGTGATAATATGTGGATGTAGCAAAGAGTAGTAGAACGGCAATATAATAAAATAATTACAATTATTATACAAGTTATATAAATAGCAGTATGGTGATAATATGTGGATGTAGCAAATGGTAGTAGAACGGCAATATAATAAGACAATTACAATTATTATATAAGTTATATAAATAGCAGTATGGTGATAATATGTGGATATAGCAAAGAGTAGCAGAACGGCAATATAACAAGATAGTTGAGTAAGTAGTGAAATGGTAATATAACAAGAGAGTGTGATTAAGTAATAAAGTGGTATAGTAATATGATAAAATGATACAGTCGACAAATATTTTCATGATGAATTGATAATACACTAAATTAATAAAATGATGAAATATTAAAATAAAAAAATACCTCAGTAATATAATAATAATGTGATTTAATAAAATGACAATGTTATCAATTGGTAAAATAATAAAATGATGAATTGGTAATATAATTAATTACCAAAGAAACGACAACAAAATAATAATGTGATAAAATGCAATATATGATACAATTTTGCTTCATAACTTGGCAAAACCATTTTGAATGCACCATGCATGAAGGTGAATCGTTTCACAGATTTAATCTCTACCGCTTCAAGGAGTACAAGTCGTTCATATGTCAGACATGTCTCGCATCAACGTCTTACGTGAAACATACGCTTGAATACCATCAGTAATGTAAGAATTTAATTATGACCTTGAGATTATACAACAAATTACTAATTCCATTACTTATTTTTAAACAGAATTTATAAATATATATGCACGTACTATTTAAAACATATTTCAAAATTTTTTAAATAATTTTTAAACTTTAGGGTTAAATTTAATATTTTAGAGATTAATAAATTTAATACTTTTAGAGATTTATTGTCACACTTTTGGAGTAAATTTATAATTATAGAATTAATGATTAAAGAAACACTGCGCCTCTTAAAATTCAACTCCCGAAAGTTCGCCACGCGCCAATAATTTTCTAATCGATCGATCAATTTGCGAATTAATTGTCAAACTATCGTCGATCTACACGTGTTCTTGGTACGGTGTATAACGTCCCAGTATTTTCATCGTTATCTTTGCCGTGTACATACATCCATCGGTGCTCGCAGCAACACGATACGCGCCAGATAATGAACTCGCATCACGGCACAGAATATTGTCTCATGAAAAATGTACGCCCCGTCGAAAGTCCGATAATAAAGTGGAAGCAAGAAAATCGCACGATCTTCGCCCTCCATAGTCCTTTTCCGCGTTTGTTTAACCACGTATGTATACCGTTACACCTGTCTCTCTTGCACACCTTGAAACTTCACCCATCATTTATCGAAAAAATTCTGTTACTTTCTT